ATTATTATTTTTTATTATTATTATTAATAATTTATTATGAAAGAAGAGAAAACGTAAATTACTAGCTCTTTATTTGTAGCACAAACACATAAATAATATATTCCTATAAATAAATATTTATACACAGTTATGCAAATTGTTCTTTAATTTAAGAAAATGCTTTTTTATTTCTTGAAATTTCAAAGACTTTAATTTAATTATTCCACGTGTAAAATGATTTTCCAAACCCTAAAAAATGGCAAATAATATCTAAAAGGGCATTATTGGAATTTCGTGTAAAAATCTTCCATAGAAAACACACACACTCATACAGAAAGAATGACCAGGATTGAAAAAAAAATATATCATAAGGACTACTCTAAAAACTGCAAAAAATCTTCTCATTTTGCTTATTCTGCAATTTGCATAGAGAGATTAATTTTTTCAATCAATTTACCAACACACGCTTGGACACACGTTAGTATGTGTTCTTGTTATATAATTAGTTATTAATTGTGCATGCTTCTTTAAATGTTTTATGAGTGCTAAATCTTGTGTTTGTTTCCTTTTTCTATTTGTTATCATTAAAATTAACAAAAGGTTTGTTTTTGATGTTTTTAAGACCGTCAAATGGAAGATTTATGCATCGAGAACACCGTTTCGCATCATGCGACGTCGGTAGCCGCCGCAGAACCTACAAAGCTGGTGGAGGTTGTTGTAGAGGAAGGGACGTTGGAGAAGGCTGGCGGCGATAAAACGGGTAAATCTACCGCTTAGGGCTCCAAAATATAATGGGGACATATACGTAATTTCTATAATTTTGGAAGGGCGTTTTAGTTATTTTAAATAAATTAAACCTATGAATTAGTAGGATTAATGTAGAAAAAATAGTCATACAAGTGATAATTGTTCTTTTAAATTAGCGTTTTCGTCATTTCGATATCTGCATTTATAACAAGAATTTCTTAGATTTTAATGTTTTGCTAATAATATTTTTCAAAGATTTTGACTAAAAACTAATACTAATTAATATTTGGTTTTGAATTGTTTTCGATTCTTTCGCTGTTATGGATGAATCGAAAACGATTTGCCAAAAAAAAAAACCGTGAAAATCAATACACTAATTGGTTATTATTTTTGCATGCTTCTATAAATGTTTTATGAGTGTTAAATCTTGAAAACTTGTTCCCTTTTCTATTTGTTATCATTAATAAAATGGTTATTTTTGATGTTTTTAAGACCTAAAAATGGAAGATCTATGCGTCGAAAACACCATTCCGCATCATACGACGTTTGACGCCGTCGCAGAACATGAAGAGATGGTGGAGGTTGCCCCCGTTGTCGCAAAGGAAGAGACGGCGGAGAATGTTGGCGGCGATAACACAGGTAAATCTAACGCTTAATTAGGGTTTCGAATATAATGGGGACATACATTATAATTTTACGATTTTGCAAGGGCATTTTAGTAATTTTAAGAATAAATTAATAAGTAGAATTAAATTCGAAAAAACAGGCATACAAGTAATAATTGCTCTTTTAAATTAGCGATTTCCGTCGTTTCGATACCTGCATTTATTACGAGAATTTCTTAGATTTTAATATGTTACTAACTATTTATTTTTCATATTTTGAAACAATACTAATCATTTATTTATAATAATAACGTACATGAGTGGTAGTTAATTTTGAAAAAAAATATTTATAATATTTTGAAACAATAATATTAATATTTCAACTAATCATTTAGGCCACAAAATAGTTGAAGACACCCCTATTGGCAATGATCATGGAGTGGCGGCGAAGAGCTTCTCCGCACCCCCCCGGAGGAAGCGGAGATGAGGTTATGTAAAAAGAGAAAGAGAGGGCGGCCGATGAAGCAGTCGGTGGGGGGCCGACAACAATTTGCGGAGATGCTGCCAGAATATTATATCTTCTGCACCGAAGCCGAGAAGAGGCCGCCCTAAGGGGATCCCACGAAATACTTGGCTGCCTCTTTAGGTAAGTTTTTTCTTTTCTTGATTATTTAGTTGTTTATATAAAAATATTGCAACCTGCATTTGTGAATCTGCCATTGCATTAATTTTATTTATCAATTTATTAATTTATTATGTACATATATATTGGCATGGTAAAATCAATTTAGTTCCTCTAGGGTGCGGTTTTTGTGCAATTCGAGTGCATCTAATAATACTCGCATTGTTCAATATATATACATTTTTGTTTAATTTTTTTTTTTAAATCAATTTTCTTTATTAATTATCGAAATATATATTTTTTTATTCCATATATTTATTGTTAACCGGGGAAATATTTCTCGTAATATTGAAGATGGAATTGTTGGGGAGACGGCGGGAAGAAACTTCACTTTCCACACCATTACAATTGAACAAGGGGAGGTATACATATATAATATATATTTACTAGTTCAATTTATGTGTTATATTTGTGCACATATATGTAATTCTATTATCGATACATTTGTTCTTCGACGTATAAGATTAGTCGTTATAGATACAAGTAATATTTAATTATATTGTTTATCTTTCGTTTTTTGATCGACCAGGACATAGTGCAAAGAATTAGGTTATTTTCTGAGATGACTCCCGATTCAATTTGCATTATCTCAGCTTCGGGTACAGTTTCTATTGCTGAAGTTTATGTGCCTAATCCTCGTCGTGACATTTTCCGATACGAGGTATATATGATCTCTCTATTTTGCTCATACTTGTAATTATTTTTAATTAATTTGATCTCACGTATTGGTGGTGCAGGGGGAGTTGACTATAGTCAACTTAAATGGATCGCATACATATGATGGAGTAAGAGGTGCAAAAAAATGCCTATTAAGTGTACTTTTGGCTGATTCCGAAGGCCGATGCTACGGTGGTGCTGTAGCCGGTTCACTTATTGCTGCCGGCCCGACTCGGGTAACCCAAACTCTCAATATTTTTATTTTTAATTTTCTTGTGCAAAGATTGTGTGCTTAGCTTGTACATATTGTATGTATTTAAACACACACAATAAACGCACATGCATGTGTATAAGTGTGCGCACAATTCACACAAATTAAAAAGGGTTCCCCTCATTTTAACAAATTAAAGAAAGAATAATAAATCATTAATATACTTTTGAAATTATGTTTAGTTCCTTTAAGTTTCATTTCTATAATTTTTTTTAAGTTTAAGAATTCAACACATTAAATTCAATTTAATTTCCAGGTTATTATCGGAACATTTATTCAAATTTTGAGGCATCGAAAGCGTAGAACTGCAGCTCTAGAATCAGCCACTCGCAGCTCCGTTTCCCCGGTAATTGATGGTTAGAGTGAAGATTATAGTACTTCACAAAATTTGAAGCTAAAAGAAAAAAATTCTATTTTCTTGAATTAATGTTTTAATTACTTGACATTATGTTTGTTTTTAGGGGCTTAATTGATTATTTGTTGTATTATTTATGTTGTTGTTGTTTTTTTTGAATATTTTACCTTGTTATAATGTTCCATTTATTTTTAAACAATATATAAATTATGGCATTGCATGCAATAATATATGGCATTTTATAACTCTTATTATATGAGAAGTGATTTAATAATTGGTTATATATAATAACAATATTTCCATCATATATTTCAATATGCATGCACATTGAACACGTATCTCATGCACATCATTGCGTGTAACATTTACACATAAATTTTTCTTTAGTTAAAGAAAAATCTTTTATTTTTTGGATTAGGCAATCCTAGTACTTTTCAATTATAAGTCGGGATCGTTATCTGCGTCACAAACAAGTGTTAGGGCGTTGGGTTTTAGTCTCGACAAAAACCCAACATTAGCCATCAAATTCCAGAGAATAAAGCACAAGTGTTAGAGCGTCGGGTTTTAGTCTCGACAAAAACCCAACGTTAGCCATCAAATTCCAGAGAATAAAGCTCCAAAGAAAACTTAGGAGAAGTGAATAGCATAAAATTAAAATTACCTCTAAACTATTGAGATTAGGATTATTTATACCGATAAATAAGACAATATGGGATTGGGCTTTGATTAAACTTAAATTAATTTAAATGGGCCCAATTGAAGTAAAATAAATTAAAATTTGGGCTTAATGAATTTATGGCCTAAGAATATTTTAAATTTTGGGCTGAGGCCTATCAGTCCTATTCAATTAATATGCTCAATTATTTTGTATTAATAATACATTGCATAAACAATAAATGAACTTTCCGAGTTCATTATTGGAATAAATAAATAATTATTTTCCGAGAGATGATTAATTTAATTGCTTTGAGGTTTAGGTTCCCTATGTAGGTTAGAAAGTCCTTAATGAGTGATTAATATCTCCTGCTACTTTAATTACTTTTACTCAAATTCAAACCCATCAATTGAATAGAGTTTAGTCAATGGAACCAAAAATAAAAAGAAAAGAAAAAAGACGCACACACATTTAGACAAAATCGCACAAAGATATTCTAGTTGGTGGAGTAAAAAAAACGCGCAATCTGATTGCTGAAGTATGATTTCCTTTGTCTATACTTTCTAAGTCGAGTTTGTCGTATACAGTTTGCCTAACAGAATAATATCCGATGGACATATATTAATACTAAGTTCTTTGTGCAAAAAGAAAAAAATAAGTAAAGAATTGTTGAGACACAAAGAACCTTCCAAAGTGGTTTCGTTGTGTGTCTAAGGACTTTATAGATTACTTTCTTCTTCTCTAAGATTGGAATTTTCATTTTCATTAGCTATTAGTGAGAACTGTGAAACTAACTAATAACATTAAATTAATTAATTAGTCTTATGAATCAATTGAGGCAATTTGTCAATTTCAAAATTTAAGAGTGCAAAGTGCCCATTCGTATTGTTTTCAGGGTGCAAAATGCAATTCACCCCGCAGAAATATCTGCCACTCTTAGAATTTTATATTTTCATTTAAATAATGAATTAATTGTAAATATCTCAATTTTTGTTTGACCCTTTTACGGTAGTTACTCCCTCTGTAATTAGACAAGGCCTAATACACACACACACACACACGTGAATAAAAGCCGGATCTGAAAAACAGAATAAATGGAATTAAATAAAGCCTCAGACAAGAGCGATAAATGGTGCGGGTTTATCGACTAATCTCTCTGATCAACTTTTTTTGCTTTGAGAAAAACAAAAACAATCTCCATTGCATTACACTAATTACTAATTAGGTTTGAAAATAACGAGAAAAAATGTGTCTAAATGGTCCCCCACATAAGTGGGTAGTTGATATTTCTCACAACAACAGTCCACCAAACACCCTCCGCCCTTCATTCACTCTCCCTCAACGAGAAGAGAGAGAGAGTAGAGAGAGAGAGAAGAGAGAGAAGGGTAAAATAATAGCTCAAATTCATCCCTTGGTTTTGGATTTGATTACGTTTCAGATAGAAAAGAAAACAAAAGGGGTTGGTAGGTGAAAATTAGAACCGGACAAAATAGATCTGTGTTTTTTTTCTTCATATATATACATATATATAGATACATATATATATAGATATATATACACACAGACACGCACCAAGTGGTGATTGGAATGGAAAATGGGAACCAGAGCAGCATCCCCTGTTCCTTGATTTTTTGCGAAGGAAAAATGGCGGAAATCTCGGCGAAGGCCGTTGTATTGGAGTGGGTTGTCGGCTCAACGGCCGACATAAGAGCGAGAATATCGCCTGTTGTCGCGCTGATAAGGGCCAACGTTGTCGTGCCATGTCTGAGGGTTGCTCTCTACACTTGTCTGGTCCTGTCCTTCCTGTTGTTCCTCGAGTGGGTCCACGTCATGTTTCTCGCCGCCGTCGCCAAGCTCTTCCGGAAGAAGCCGGCGGAGAGGTACAAGTGGGAGCCCATGGCAAACGCCGCCGCCGGCGACTTGGAGAACGGCGGTAATGGCAAAGACTGCTTCCCCATTGTTCTTGTTCAAATACCCATATTCAACGAAATAGAGGTTAACCTTTTTTTTTTCCTCAATTATTTTTAGGGTAAATTACACTTACACCTTTAAAATATGCTAAAATAATTTTATTGTCCCTGTAGTAACGGTAATTACAATCACCACTGAAGCAGTGTTAGAAACCCTAACGGAAGACATGCATTTGAATAAGTTGTTTCGTTAGGGTTTGGAGTTCGGACGGACTATTAGTTTCAGTTAGTGGTGAAGATAACATAGAGCTAGGGTAGCATTTCTTAAATCATTATTATTTTATATAAGATTTATAAATTTTCGTCTATGGTGACATTAACTGCCCCATGAGAAACAAATATAGTGCATTTCGGTCTCCAAGACATGAAATCTTGGTTCCGGTAATTGTTTCAGGAGTGTGGCTGTAATTTTCAATACCACATGAATCTTAAAGTTATTTTAGCATACTTCAGGGGTGTAACTGTAATTTATCCTTATTTTCATTACACAACCACAAACAAACAAAAAAACACACACACACGTGCGGGTTTGTCTGAGAATAAAAAAAACAAGTGTTTATTATTTTATTTAGGTTTATAAGATGTCAATTGGAGCAGCTTGTAGGCTGTCTTGGCCTTCTGATAGGCTAGTGGTTCAAGTATTAGATGATTCCACTGACCTTACTATCAAGGTAATTTATTAAAAAATAATCTACAATTATTTTATTAATATAATATATTTAATATTTAATTATGTAATTAATAATATAAAAATTGCAGGATATGATTGAGAAAGAATGTATGAGATGGTCAAGTGAAGGGATTAACATTAGATACCAAGTTAGGGAAGGTAGAGTAGGTTACAAAGCTGGAGCTCTTAAAGAAGGACTAAAACGCGATTACGTAAAAGAATGCGAGTTCGTCGCTATTTTCGACGCAGATTTTCAGCCGGAGCCCGATTTTCTCAGACGATCAATACCCTTTTTTACGTACAACCCGGAAATCGGGCTTATACAAGCCCGTTGGAGATTCGGTAAGCCTCGTTTGTTGTGTTTTTTTAATCGAATCGAAATCAAATTGATATTCTTGATTTACGAATTATATATATATTTGCAGTGAATGCAAACGAGTGTTTCTTGACGAGAATGCAAGAAATGTCGTTGGATTATCAGTTTGTGATTGAGCAAGAAGGGGGGTCATCCATTCATGCATTCTTCAGCTTTAACGGTAATCACTCCGAATTTTCAACCGATTAAAGATATTTGTTCGAGTTTATTGCATTTAGTACCCCTGCGTTGTATCGAATTCCTAAAAAAAACCCTTACGCATATTTTTTTTAGCACGTAACCACCTAAATAGTGATTTTTTAGGCGTCGTCTGTTAAAATAGAAAACAAAATGTTTGGCGGTTTTTGCAAATAGAATAATAACATGAGGGGTTTTTTTGCAAATAAAAAAAATATAGGGGGTGTCGAATGCACTAAACTTATATTGTTTTAAAGTTAAGCCAGTGCTGGAATAAGAACTTAGACACATAATTGAATGAAATTGTACTACATAACCGATTCGTAATCTAAGGCGAATTTGTAATTATTTTATTTATTTAGGAAGTGGTGGAATATGGAGAATTGCTGCAATAGAAGAGGCCGGAGGATGGAAAGATCGAACCACCGTAGAAGACATGGATCTTGCTGTACGAGCTGGACTCAAAGGCTGGAAGTTTCTTTTCCTAGGCGATCTCGACGTACATTATTATTTTTTTTCATTTCAATTTATACCTATTTTCAGCCGTTAAATCGAATATAATTTGGTGTTTTTCGACAGGTTAAAAGTGAACTCCCGAGCACTTTCAAAGCGTACCGTTCTCAACAGCACAGGTGGGCTTGCGGTCCAGCCAACCTATTCAGAAAAATGGCCACCGAAATTGCGAAAAACAAGGTTTTTTTTTTTTTTTTTTAAATTTCATTTCGATACGAAAATTATTGTTATAACATATAATTTGTGTTTTAAATAATATTTTTTTTGGGCATATATGCAGGAAGTTTCGATCTGGAAAAAGTTATACATGATATACAACTTCTTCTTTATCCGAAAACTCGTCGGGACGATGTTCACATTCTTCTTTTACTGCGTGGTGCTGCCGTTAGTAAGTTTGATGCCTGAAGTTGATGTTACGAAATGGGGTGCCATTTTAGCCACCTTCGTAATCGCCACCATAAATACTCTCGTCGCTACTCCAAGGTCTATTTCAATTTCATTCTCGACTTTTATTTTCTTAGCAATTTTTGTTCGGATGATAATTAATTTGGAAAAATAAAAATAAAATGCAGGTCTACTCATCTGGCTGTGCCTTGGGTTCTGTTCGAGAATATAATGTCGTTTCATCGAACAAAGGGAATATTCATCGGTCTCTTTGAGGCTAAGAGAGCTAACGAATGGGTCGTCACCGAAAAACGCGGAGATGCCCTAAAAAACAAACCTAATGTTGAATCATGTGCACCAAAGAAGCCTCCGAGATTTAAGCTTTTCAGAGACCGGTAAATTAATTTAAATTTATTTAAAGAAATTATTAGAAACTATATTGTATACACTCTAATTATCGGGTTTTTTTTCTTCGTAATTTACCAGAATACTACTGCAGGAGCTGGGAATAGCGACGTTTCTTTACGCGTGTGGATTATACGGTGTGTTTTACGGAGACGACAAATATTACATATACCTATTCCCACAAGCCATTTTCTTCACAGTTGCTGGATTTGGGTACTATGGTACTATGATTGCTGCCCCCATTTCTTATGTTAGCTAATCAAGCATCCTTAATTATAGTTAGCTTATGAAGTAATTAAGTTAAAGACATGACTAATTAATTAGGATTTGCTGACACTAATCCATAGTTTTAGGATTTTTGTTTGTCATAATACTTAGTCATATTTCGCAGGCAAAAAATTAAGATAGTACTAATATTTTTTGTTGTTTAGAGTGAACACTAATTATTGTGGAGCACATTTGATTTTGTAACTTGGGCTCCACGGATTATTTTTTAAATATAAGTTTTGCCCCTTTCATTTTTTTTCCCTCCATATTTATCATTACAAATATAAATTTAAGAAGTTTTAGTAATTATATCATGGTCATTTTATTGATTTTTTACTTATTTATAGCTGCTTATTCGGGGACACTGCCCCTGAACCTTCGTAAGTGTCCGTAGTTTAGTGTTTCGTACTCTCGCCCACCCCCCTTATGAAATCGTCCCACGTTGGCCCGGTTTGAGTATGAAGAAATATCTAGAAATGTAGCTCGATTAAAGAAAAATATATGTTATTAGAAAGATAAATCGAATTATTATTTTTGGCGGGTACGATGAATTGATGATGGTTTAATTTTTGTCAGTTAATTAGCGAAGGGCATGTGCTATGGTATGCTGTTTCCTGCATATTAACATGCATGCTAGATGTCTGTCACGTGACATAAATGAGCAACCACATTTATTGCCTTGTTTTTCTTATGCGAATATTAACTCGTGAAAAAATTGTACGGAAAAAGTCGAAATCTCTCGCCCCGACCGATCTCCTGGTCCGGTATTATGAAGGATGTAAATTATGGTGATTCAACGGTCCATTAGGATAGTGAGTCTGGGTCTGGTGCACACAAGCAACAAACGTTCGTAAAAGCTGACATTATCACACTGTAGCTGTTAATACTCAATTCTAAGATCTTATACCAACCTATTGGCCCGAAAGCAGTTGAGCAAGCAAAGGTCCAATGTGATTGGTTGCTCCAAGCCCAATAACTTTTTATAGGAGGGGTATTTTTTAGAACAATTACAATAATAATTAGTAACAAGCCCAAGCCCCCTACAAAAAAAAATGGTATTAAGAACAAATTTCACTTTAACTCCCTTAAACTCTATTTAACTCACACTATTCTTCCTACTACTTTCGATTGTATCACTATGGCCCATTCTAATATAATTTTTTATATCAGTTAAACCCTAATGTTAACTTTCATCGATGGCACCGTTAACCATCAACTATGAAATTACAAAACACCCTCTAAAAGACGAGAAAGTCAATAGTTAACTATAGTTAATAAAAAAAAATGAAACATAAAAAAATTCAAAAGATTCCCAATTCAAAGTAGTAAGTATAACACAATTATATTCTTTATTCCTTAGCTAGATCTTCCGCATTTCACGGTTGTATGAATGCAAGTCTCCTTTAAATCATATATATAATTAATAAATACAAGTTTTTTTATGATATAGTTAGTTAATATAACTATATTAAGGTGGAATTTTGAGTGTTGAATTTATTTTTCAACACATATTCCCCAGCAATCCATGCAAAATTTGTGGCATATTGCAGGTCAATTCTTCTTTTATTTTATTTCCTTTCAATAAGGGACAGTGCTTCTGCTTCTTGTCTTTTTTTTTTTTTTAATTATAATTATTATTAATTTATTATTATTATTTTTTATTTAAAATGTTGTCTCACTGAACCTATTCCTAAAATTAATAATTACGACTTGACTATATGTGACTTGTTCCATGATCCCACTAGATATAATATCCAAATGGAATATTCCCCTATAGCTAAACTACCAACTGAGTCAAGTTGCTTCCCGAGTTAAGATCAACCGGTATATTTAATAGTTAGGGGTGGTTCGGTAGGGTAACCGTATTAAACCCCTTAAATCACTATCGTTATTGAAATTTCGGTATTATAAAATCCATTACAATAATTCTACCAAAAATTTCACTACGGTTCCATATGCATGATAATTGTAATTACCAGTTTATATTATCGAGACGAAATTGAATATTATTAATTATATTTTGAGTCATTTTCCACCAGATACGGGGACAAAATGAAATCAACTATGTCATATATGGTAACACTGTGAAACCTTCAACATCCAATGTCAACTTAAACTTAGCATTAACGTTAATTAAGATTGCACCGACAGAATTTAAGGAAATTTTATGTTCATTTGAAGGAAATTTCTTCTATTACTCTAAATTCCAAACACTTGACAATATTTTATAATATTTATCTATCAGTTCTATTATAATTCTCAAACAAGTAGTAGGAATAGAAAGAGACTTTTGAGGAATTTTAATACTATCAATTAAAGGCTCGTTTGGCTGAACTTATTCTAAACAGCTGATAAAAATTGAAAAGTTGTTATGTCTTATTTTTAGAATTAATTTTGAAAATATTTGGATAATAATCTTATAAAGTATTTTTCCTCATTAAACGATCTTAAATAAAAAGGTGGGGTATTAAAGGTATTTAAAATAAAAAAAATCTGATTTGCTCTTTAACGGCTTATTTTTAATTTTTAAGATCTTTAATTGAAAATTAACAAACATTTTTAAAATAACTTATAAGTTCTTGAACTTCTCATAAACTATGTTTAACAGCTTATAAGGTTAGCCAAACACCCTTTAAATCCACCAATTTCTTGCATTGCTTTAATAGGCCTACTAGTTTATAATTACATTTGACTAAAAGTGGGCAAAACTAAGAAAGTAGAAAATAGAGGGGCTACATTTAGAGAGTACAAAAAGATCTAGTATTATATTTAATTTTTTCTTTTTCCTTTCTACATTTTAGATCCGATGACGTCATTAAATAGGATGCGATTTATGTATGGATTTTACACATGTAATATACGTGGTTAAAAAAAAGGCCCATTAGGCGTAATTTGAATTTAATTACAAAAGTCTCTGCTAATTAGCCCATGAAATATATATATTTACTCTTTTGGCATCACTGAATTGAAGGAGCTATGAAATATTTTATTTTACTTTATTTAATTTTCTAAAATTAATTTATGAAAACATCAGCCAAACAAAACCTTAAAAAGACAACAAGCTCTTAGATGTAAATGTCGGCAGCCATGTTACACTTGTCGAATCACAACTTTCTTTGCTGTTCCTCACATGAATCTTGCTAATCTGCAACTTTTTTTTCACCTAAATTTCAATTTTTTTTTTATGAATAATCATTTTACATTTTCTTTTTTTGGTTCTTGAAATGAAATATAGCCTCTTGAATTGGTAATTCGGTCTATTTTACCTAAAACCATGGAATCCACCTCCGGCTGACTTAGGGGTAGAATTCGAATGAATTAGATTGAAATTAGAATATTCCCCAATCAGATTTTTTTGACCAAGTTGGCATAATTCATAAATTATATTTAATTATTTGTTTATAATATTAATAATATGGAGATTATGAATGTAATTTCAAGAGATGTTGTTTCAAAATATTTGGAATTATTTTTGAAAAGTAAGTCGGATCGAAAATCAAAATTTAATATATATAATCGTGATTGTGATAAAAAGAAACTTGAAAAAAAAATAAAAAAAAATCAACATTATGGGAATTATGATGAAGTGATTAATGAATTAAGTCAAAAAAAATAAAAATCGAACAATCGATGAAATCCAGCAATTTTGTTTTGATTTCCAAAAATAAATGGGCAAGAACTTTAGCTCACTTATAATATTTAAAAAAAAAAAAAAACCCATATACTTAAACTTCGCCTAGTTTAATCATAGGAAAACTCGATAGGTTAATAACTTCGTCAAAATAATAATTTTTCTCGATCTCAACTCGATAAAAATGTATTAAAATATTAATTCGATAATTTAATATTTTGCTGAAGTAATACAATTTTATTAATTCCGATTGTATTAATTTATAGTAAAATGTTTAATTAACTTTTTATGGATGGATTCATTTTGGAATTGATTTCAAATTTAAGTCTCTTATACATTAGCTAACTTTAAATATCAATGTAATAGATTTATAAATCCAGTTAATATGAAGTCATTTGAAATTATTTTCCAAAATTCTCAACCCAAATCTAAATCATTCCATTTAAATAGTGAATATTCTCAATATTTGATTTTAAAAATACCGTTGAAAACTCGTTTAAGGTCAATACTTGTCTTAAAACAAATTCAAAATTTGAAAACAGTTAAGTATTTCCTAATATGGATTTCAACATTCCAACTTTCACCCTGGATATAGTATTTACTATTTACTATTTTAAAAAAAATAAGGGTAAATGTAAATTTCTGTAAAAAAATAATAATCCAAAAATGGTAAATTACGGTCAACCCCCTAAGGAAATGTCAAATTACGAAACCACCCTCATATTTGAGTAATTACAATCATCTCCATCAACTGTGTATTGTCTCACACGTCCATCTTTAGGGCGTCAAATTTACCTACTGAATGAGAGTTTTTTCGTAAGAAAGTACATAGTTAAGGAGGTAGTCGTAATTTCCCAAATATAAGAGATTTTTTCGTACTTTAACATTATCTCAAGAGATTGGCCGTAATTTGCCAAGAAACAAAAGATTGAATGGGGTGGCTGCCAAACTATTATAGTCAAAGGATTTTGAATGCCAATAATTTAAATAATTATGATATACCCATACTTATTTCCTAGTGATTAGGGTTTAGTGGATATGAATGTCAAATGTTTAAACATTTTAGGGTGCGGTTGCAACATGGGCATAGTTAAGGGTGTGTGAATGCAAATTCCCACTTATTAGTTTACCTTAATTTTATTTTATTTTTTAATTACTTTTATTAATAATTATCCTTATAAAAGTCACAGTCGGGCTTAAAAGTTTTGACTATAAAAATCTCTTCAATTTCTCACTCTCACTCACTCACTCACTCACTCACTCTCTCTCTCTACAGCTTTCTCTCTCCTCTGCTCAAAACCCAAATTCCCTCTCCACAATGGCAGAGGTTTCGGCGAAGAGCTTCATACCGGAAACATTCCAGGGATACACGCCGGAGATAGCGGGGCAAATCGGTCTTTTATGGGAGCTAATCAAAGCGCCGTTGATAGTTCCGGTGCTGACGGTGTGCGTGTACATCTGCTTGGCGATGTCGATAATGGTGTTCATGGAGAGGCTTTACATGGGGGTTGTTATTGTTCTGGTGAAGCTCTTCTGGAGAAAACCAGAGAAGAGGTATAAATGGGAGCCGATGGAGGAAGACGCCGACGATTTGGAAGCCGCCGGAGCTAATTTCCCGATTGTCCTTGTTCAGATCCCCATGTTCAATGAGAAAGAGGTCTCTGCAATTTTTATTTTTTATTTTCGATTTTTTATGCTGTTTTTCTTATCACACACAGATAACACGTGTGATTGTGTGTGTGAGAGAGAGAGAGTTTTAGAGAGAGAAATTAAAAGGTGAGGGTTTGTTGCAGGTTTATAAGATCTCAATTGGTGCAGCGTGTAATCTTTCGTGGCCTGCTGATAGGCTGGTTATTCAAGTTTTGGATGATTCCACTGATTTTGTCGTCAAGGTATACTTACATTTTTTTATATCTATATATATAATATATATATATATAGAAAGATAGATAAATTGACAGATAGATAGATAACAGGTAAAACTCAAAAATTCTGGTCATTAAAATTCAATTTTGGTATTTACTCAATTGTGTTCAATTCATGAATAAATATATATATATATATATATATATATATATATATATATATATATATATATATATATATATATTTGTTTTTCGGTTTGTATATATAGAACAATAATAATAAATATATATCGTATGCATTTATACACGTCAAAAAGTACGTACATCGACGTTAGTACGTGTAGATGAGCCGAGCGGTAGATCTTCACTTTATCGATTATAACATATAACCGAAATAAACTTTTGTTATCTGACCTAATTACTAACATTACTATTATTGTTGAATGTTAATTAGTTGAAAATCCTTCAAATTATGGTAATACTAAACAAACCATGAATTAATTATAGTTAATTTTGCATTTTATAGCGTGCAGTTATGGTTCAATCCTCCAAATTATAGTAATGCTAAAAGAAGTCATAAATTAGTTATGGTTTATTTTGCAATTTAATATATAATTTTTTTTTAATATTTGAATTCCAATTAATATTTAATTAATTGTTTTAATTTATTTGTAGGATATGGTTGAGAGAGAGTGTTTGAGATGGGCAAGCAAAGGGGTTAATATTAAGTACCAAATTAGGGAGTCGAGAGGTGGTTATAAAGCCGGTGCGCTTAAAGAAGGCCTTAAACACGACTATATCAAACAATGCGAGTATGTCGTAATATTCGATGCTGATTTTCGACCCGAACCTGATTTTCTCAAACGGGCCGTTCCGTTTTTGATCCACAACCCGGATATAGCCCTTGTGCAAGCTCGTTGGAGGTTTGGTAAGCCATTTTATTGGATATAGCTTATACGTGCGAGCATAACAGATATTGATAAAATTTTATCGAGTGTAGCATCGAAAATATATTTAATATAGTTAGATGTAAAAAAAATATATATATATTTTTACTGCATGCAAGACTGTCGGTGGTGTTATTACTATATAGGTCATAGATGCTGTAGTGGGGCCCACAAAAAACACTAGAGCCCAAGCCATGGCCCACGGGCCCATTAAGCCCGCCCTTTTCCTATTAATCGCCGCCTATTACGGCCCTATTAAAATCAAATCAAATCTAATGCATGGGTATTATTAATTCCATATTTAATATAGCAAAGTTTGATTACTATTTTAGTTACTTCTAATTACGAAGATTAAGGACTACTTAATCCTTGTAATTAAATTATTATAAATTATTGCCCTTTATTAAACTTTAATTAAATTAATTGGGCCTAATTGGACTAGAGTCTAATACACGTTGAATTAGGTTTACAGTTATTGGGCGAGGATGAATGAGAGAAAAAAAAATAAAAAATTAATTAATTAATGTGATTGTGTATCTCCACGTCAGATTAATAAATACTAATGAATGAACACCGTCTATCCCTATCATTTGTTGTCGTTAAAATTAGAAATGACAAAACTCTTCTTGACCTTTAACTAGAAATAAGACTGTTCAGGCCAGATATAACGGGGCATTTTCGTCCTTTCAGTCTCGAATCAGACAAACTGTTGTGTAGTAGTGGAGGGTAGATTTGTAATTGAACGTGGTATTATTCTCTGCTCAGTATCCGCACACACCATTTGGTGGACCCGCGCACCTGTCTATATCTTGTTTATAATTAGTGTCGACGTGTCTGTTTTCACAACCGACAACGTAATTTGTTTTGTAGTAAAACCGAACTTTAACTTATAGTGTGACGTGGCAGATTATTTTAGGTGTCAAATAAATAAAAATATTTTCACATTTTATAACTTTGGCATGGGTCTATTTTATGGGCCAATCGACCAACTTTTTATGATCGATTATTTTTTAACCAACCCATATATATATATATATGGGTTGGTGGTTTAGTTTACGGTTGGCTGACAATTACCCGACCAATTAATTTTTTTAATAATAAAAATTTATTAGAAAATAATAAATTTCAATTCTTGTTTTTATAAGTTAAAATTAATATATAAAAGAGGTCAAAAACTCGAAATACAAATTTATTGACCATTTTTATTTCCTATTCTTCTTTATGTATTGCATAAATTTATTAAAAAGAGTATTGATATGATATTGCAGTGAATTCAAATGAATGTATGTTGACAAGGATGCAAGAAATGTCATTGGACTATCATTTTAAAGTGGAGCAAGAAGTGGGATCAGCAACTCATGCATTCTTTGGCTTCAATGGTGAGTAAAGTTTCATCAATTTGAACACGCACAATGTGTGTGGCGTGTGCGTGAGAGAGAAAGTAAGAGTTATTAACAAATTAAATAAAATTAGGAACTGGAGGAATATGGAGAATAGGAGCGATAAACGAGGCAGGAGGATGGAAAGACAGAACAACAGTAGAAGATATGGATCTTGCTGTTAGGGCTGGTCTTAAGGGCTGGAAATTTCTCTACTTAGGTGATCTCCAGGTACATTCTTCTTTTCTTTTTTTTTTCAAATTTTTTTTTTTAATCTTCAACAATTTAATATAATATATTGCCATTTAATTTAGTCATTTGGTGATAAATCTCTATATTGTCACTATTGCTACTTTTTTTTGAGGCAAAAATTATCACAATTTTTTCTAGATGGAATCATGATTTGTTGTTTACTTCAAAAATGTTAATTCCGATCTGATTCTGGCTTCTAGCCCCGCCATATATATTGAAAATAAAATTTGTGACAAAACTACAATTTTTAATTTCGGACAGGTGAAAAGCGAACTTCCTAGTACTTTCAAAGCATTCCGTTTCCAGCAGCATCGGTGGTCGTGTGGGCCCGCAAATTTGTTCCGGAAAATGGTTATGGACATTGCTACAAACAAGGTTTGTTAAGAAAACAAATTTGTTTAGTTTGTGATTTTTTTTATCGAAAATAAGAACTAAACAATTTTCTTACGTTTTCCACAGAAAGTTACGCTATACAAGAAGTGTTACGTGATCTACAGCTTCTTCTTCGTCCGAAAAATCATTGCCCATTTTTTCACCTTCTTCTTTTACTGTTTAATTCTGCCGTTGACAATTCTTGTGCCTGAAGTATACGTTCCAAAATGGGGAAGCATTTATATTCCTTGCATTATAACCATGCTCAATTCTGTCGGAACTCCAAGGTATATATATATACATATACATTGTTCATTTATTTTAGTTATTTTTTTATATATATAAAATGATCGCTAGTTCCGTTTTCGTTTTCGATCACACGAATTTTGTATTTGTTTTTTGCAGGTCATTTCATTTGTTGTTCTATTGGGTACTTTTCGAGAACGTTATGTCATTCCACCGGACAAAAGCTACGTTGATTGGTTTGTTCGAGGCCAAGAGAGTGAACGAATGGGTAGTCACCGAAAAACTCGGAGATGGTGTTAAGAACAAATCAAACAACAAATCAATCGGATTCAAGAAATCCATTTTTAAGTTTCTTGGTGACAGGTACAATTATCTTACAACATTTTATTTTTACTTCCAATTAATTTTGGAATTTTTTTAATTATTATTTTGTTTTTTTTAATAAAGGGTTTCGGTACACGAGCTCGGATTTGCGGCATTTCTTTTCGTATGCGGATGCTACGATTTCTTGTACTGGAAGAACAATTATTTCATATACTTATTCCTTCAAACCATCACCTTCACTATTGCCGGATTTGGCTACGTTGGCACCTTTGTCCCTAGCTAGTAGAAGATGAAGATGAAGATTATATAATTAAATATTTTAATTTTTTTTTCTAAACTTATACGAGAAAATGTACACACGTGTACAACAGAAATTCGAAGGGATTTGATCAGAAAGCAAACGTCGTTAGCATTTTATACAGTCAGGATAAAAAGGTTGAAAGAACCATATATATTATTAGGGTTAGATAAACAAGTGTTTCTTCTTTTTGTAGTCATGTAGTTGTCTGAAAGCTGTGTGTGTGTGTGTGTGTGTTTTAAAGATTTTTCTTTTAATGTAATAAGATAACTATATGAATTTTGAGTGAGAAGGTTCATTATAATTTGTTTTGGCTTTGGTTACAAAATGGAAACAAGGGTTAACTACGATTTACGATCACCTCTTGCTGTAAACGCAAATTACGAAAAAATCCCCTTTATTTGCGTAGTTACAACTATCCATCAATTATGATTTTTTTTTTTTTTTTGCAAAAACACTCATTGAACCAGAAGGTAAATTTAACTGTAAAGATGAACACATAATACAACGCATAATTAAAGGAGGTGTTTGTAATCACTCAAACATAAGGGATAATTTCATAATTTGACATTACCTGAGAGGTTAGACGCAAATTGCCATAAAGAAGGACGATATATCTATCTAAAGTCAAATTTAGATTCAAGGAGAAGCATAACATGAAAACAAGCGACAACAATTCATTGCAACTCAATGATTTTAATAAAATTAAATCTAAAATCCATGAAAACAATAATTAAAATTCAGAGTGAAACTTGCCGAAATAGAAACAAGGATTACGAGACTCCCCATCCCCGCTACAAAATCCGCTACGATTAAGATAACACTCTTCAAAGGCTATATATATAATAATTTTATAATGCAATAATATTATCAATCAAAATTGCTTCCGAAATTCCCCGATCACCCGTCGGAACTTCATTTGCCTCCATGCTTACCCTTGGAGTGTGAGACCTGAGCCTTCCCAGAGGGGAAGTTTCTGAAACACAAAAAAAAAATGTCAGCATAGTAAATTAAATACTAGGGCTGCTTTAGCAGTTAGAGTATGCACGAGGGTGCAGAATGCATAAAATAAAAAAATAAAAAAGACCAACAAAGAATGAACATACTTCTTCCCCGACTTGTTTGCGGATTGTCCAGCAGATTTAGGGGACTTCTCGTTCGACTTGTTGTTGCCAGCTGGCATTTTTCCAGCAGCTGCTTTTGAAGGTGGAGTAGCATTTTGGCCCTTCTTGTTACCTACAACAAGATATTACTTAGCCGAAAATTCATGATGAAATAAATCAAATCAATAACATTACTCACACACACACACACACAACAAAAAGAAAATAATCCCACCATTAAACAACTAATAAATATGCATGGATTGTCCCCCAAAAAAAATCATATAATGTGACTAAAATACCCTTCTCGTTGAATTTATTTTCACAAGTTGTCTCGAGCTTATTAATAGTAACAAGGGCAAAATTGATAAAATAATAATAATTAAAGAATCATTGGAATTGAGACAGGTAAAATAGAGCAAAGAAAAATTTACGACGGATAACTTGAAAAACGGGGGGAGTTATATAATATTATAATCAAAACCTTGCTTGTTGTCGGGAGTAGCTGCTTTAGCTTTCTTTGCTGGAGCAGGAATTTGCTGTGCAGGTTCAGCTGGTCTTTTCTTAGCCTGCTTACCCTAAATTACAATATAGAAACATAAGATTTTGCCACATAAAGATTCGAATCAACATTTGATAAAAATAAATATAAATATAAATAACTAAAATCCTTACCTTAGGTAACTCTTCCTCTTCGGAAGAGCTCCCATCCTCAGAATCCTGAAAAATCACATTGATTAATAAAGACATTATAAATTACAAATAAAAACAATTGCTCAGAAATATATATATATATATATATATATATATATATATATATATATATATATATATACATATACATATAAAAGATTATTATGACATACATCGCCAGATAAGTCGCTGACATCATCTTCACCCAACACAGCCATTTCTTCATCGGAATCATCACTGTCGATTTCATCATCATCAGAATCGGATTCTAACTTAGTCAGTACAGGCTTCGCCGGAGCTTCTTTCTTGGCCTTCACTTCGGCAGGCTTGTGGTCACATTTACCTAAAATTAATTACAAAAACAACCCTTATACTTTATGTTTACATTAATTTCAAATTTCAAAAAAAAAAAACACGGGTTGGTGTTTCGCATTTACCGGTGTGCACATGCTCATGCTCCTCCTCCTCTTCATCGTCTTCATCGGAAAACTCATCACCTTATAAATAATCAAGAATGGAATATATGTATCAGCAATTAAGTTAAATAATTTATTCCGTATATTATATGTGTATATATGTACCGTCAGTGGGATCATCAGCAATGTATCCAATAAAGAAGACGCTCCCGTTTTTCCAATCATGGGAGAGTTCGAAATCCTTTTCGAACACCAAATCAAACATCAACTGAGTTCGATCCTCTGCAGCAAGACTTCCGATTATGAAATTTTTGAGATCGATTCTCAAACGAAGCGGCACATTCTTGGCTCCTTTCACATCCTTCACCTCACCCAATGCTGCCTGTAAAAACAGTTCATAAATTAATCAAAGCCCTAATTAAAATTTCAGCGATACAATTTAACCAAAAAAATCAACAACTCTTACCTGTGAAATGTGAATCAGTTTTCCTTCTTCGGGATGAATTTTGAGAGTTTGTCCAGCTTTGACTTCGACGCCTAATTGAATTGCAACAAAAAACAACAGTTGAAATAAGAACACATGACAAAATATTACCTACAATTTATTAACAATTATTTTTCCAAGTACTCCTATCATTCAACACAGCATCTTAACCCACAAAATAAAATAAAAAATAAAAAAATCAATTTCCAGGCAGCCACACAACCATGAAATAATTGAAATAAAAAATATAATTTTTATATACAAAAAAAAAACGATAAACGCAGAAACATATGAACAGAGCACCATCTTACAATCGAAGCACACAAATTTTCAATACAGAACAAATTTTTAAATTGAAATAATTCTCGAATTCATCGAATTAAACATAAGGTATATGATTATTGATTCGCTGATAAAATAGAAATAATTAAAGGAAAAGAGAAGCGTACCCCAAAACTCCATTTCTTCTTCGGTAGCTGGGTGTGTGGATGGCGAAATGGATTCAAATTTTGAAAGAGGCGTGAAATGAGTTAGGGTTTAAGAAGGGTTTATATAAGAAGATGGGGAGTCGACAAACGGGTTTATTCCTCCGCTCGGCTAGGGTTTTCATTAAGGAATTATTATTTATTTATTTATTTATTTAATTTATTTTTGCCTTTTTCGATATAATATAATATATATTGGGCTTTCTTTTTTTGAATTGTATGGGCCTTCGTAACAAGGTAGGTAACTTCTTTAATACTTTGATTCTGATTTATTTATTTCTTTGTTTGGATATTAATTACTCGTGAATTTTATTTTCAAAAGAAAATTCAATTATTCTTTTTTAATATTTGATTTTTTTAATCATATTTTAGTTATTATTCTAATTCGGACATATGATAAGGTGTCAATAAGAAACGACTAATATACTTGATATAAAAAATTGAGTAAATTACGGATTCACCCTTAAAACGTCAAATTTACCTATGATGGATGTTTTCGTAAAACAATACATAGTTGCGAACAAAATGGATTTTTTAGTAATTTGAGTTTGCCTCAAGGGTGGCCGTAATTTGCCCTAAAAGTGTACGCATATTGTTATTCCTCTCATCATACTTCATAGCAATACTTATGTCTATCAATATGAACCGTCTTAATTTAAAGGGTTACTAGTAATCTGACCCGTGCGATGCACGGATTGGAATAAAATTAATGCAGACTAATACTCTATTTATTTAGGAATGCACGTGTTTAAAAGTCAGACCAATTATATGGTAAATAAACTGCTAAAAAAACTGATTAAAATGAGCCCC